CATAGCATGTAATGATGTTTTCAGGGGAGCTCGTGACTTTTTAAGAGGAGCCAAGCTCCCCCTGGCTCTGCGGTAGTTCTCACCCTCTTAATCTGATTAACAATATTTAGCTATATGTGCATGTTGTATTACATATGTATTTTCCAATTTGAAAATCGGATATATGATCACATATGATCATTAATATAATGGACTATGTTTACATATGTTGACATATTTATTGATGGTATCATATGAAACCAGATGGCCTAATGCATCAATTGGTATCAATGTCATGTCAAAATGTCATCCTAGCATGTGAAGGAGGCTAAATAATAAAGCAAGGCTAAATGTTGGCAACTGAAAAACTGGCCTCTGACCTCAATGTATCTGAATGAAAATGGATTCTATGGGTACCTATGAGTCTCCCCTTTACAAACATGCCCACTTTATGCACATTTGGGGGAAAAAACCATGCTGTTTTTTGCATGTGGAATAAATCAATTATTTTCACCTAGGGCATTTGAATATTTCTGCAGACTGGTGTCTATAAACAGGACAGGAATTGCATCGACTGGGAATGATGGAAGGCTGAGACAAATACTTCCTACCACCCCTGCCCCACATGTGCAACTCCCGTCAAACAAGTCTGGATACACCCCTGTCTCTATCTTACTCACCATCTTTTACTGTATTACCTTTGACTGATGATCAGTGCTCCAGCTCATCCCAAAGTGGGCGGATAGGGTAGAGGTCACGACTGTGCAGGACAGTCAAGTCCACAGTGAGAAAAGCATTTCTCCATGGAGCTGGCTTTGTGGCACAGGGACCCTGTCAGGTTGAAAAACATTTTTTGACACCGTCATGTATACACTTTACTGTCATTTGTTTTTCATTTAAGCAAAATCATTAGGCAAAAATATTTGCATGGCCCACATTTCATTTCCACTTTTCCACATTAAGATGACAGTGAGTGGGATCAAAGAGCGACCAGTGAAATATATGAGTGTGTGTCACAGAGGTTCACACTGCTATACTTGGCTGCTTGTCAGAGACTATTGAGCTATTATCAAGATCTCTTATGAGCCAAATGAGCGGACTCACACTGTGTGCAATCACAGTGTCACTGACCAGGGTGATGAGAAAATAAATACACAGATGGACAATCTATGTCTTTTCCAATCAACACAAAATAGAGTCATCTAAAAACTATTGAGTGGCCAATCTGCCACACCGAATCATATCTTTGCAATTACAGGTGAGGATAATGTCAAGGTCTGAAAGTTGATTTATTTAAGAGGTAGAAAAGTATTAAATGTTATGTCAACTGCCACTAGCTTTAAAGATACTGAAGTGGCCAAGCATTTCCTGAATGACTGTCTATATTGTTATAAAATACTGATCTATATGTGTTTATTGTATTTTTAATACAAAGAAAGACAGCAGGCAGACATCCCTTTAAGATATACCGTAGTTTGGGATTTGGTAACAGACTGGTGTCTGATAATCAGAATGAACTGTTATTTCATCTCACTTCATAGAGATGATGATTTTTTTGAGTGAGATGTGTACAGCTAGGACCACACTAGGCTTTGTGCTACTGTCAGTGTTTTGGACAGACAGTCAGCAGACAGGATTTAAGTTTGTAGTTGGTTTGATTTGATCATTTTCAGAGCATAAAACCTTCTCAAGTCTCATTTTTAGTCAAGTGGTGGGAGACACATTTGAGGCTAAACGCACACCAGGAGAATAGCATTAACACAATATCAACATAATGAACCTAATCATATTCTCACACATACTTATGGATAATTAGTTTTAGTTTAGTACTAAGTTTGGCGACAGCTGAAGTTGCTCAACTTCCTTGTGGATTCATTCTTCATATATGTTTAAAATCTATTTATAAATGTATCATCATGATCCTCTGTACACGCAACATCTATTGTGATCTGGAAGAAGGGTCCCTCCACTATTGCTTTTCCTGAGGTTTCTTCCATGTTTTCACTGTTAATGGATTTTTTTGTTATCTGAATCAAGGGTTTAAAGATAGAGGGTGTCATACAGATTGGGAGCCCCTTGAAGCAAATTTGTGATATTAGGGTATATAAATAAATAAAAAATTACTATGGTGTATGGATCATCATGCTGCATTAGAATCAGTCCATTATAAGGGCCAGTGTATTGATCAGTTATATAATTAACATGTAATCTAAGTTCATCATGTCAGAGGGCCAATATCAGCCTCATATATCAAATAAGCTTGATGGAATGTGTAGATGCATCTTGAGTTTAGTTTGAGTCATCTATTCACTTCTAATGGACATAAAACCTGCTGTCTATCTTCTATTCTCATAATTACATCTCATACTGTCTGCTCACTACTCTGAAAGCTCTATAAACCGATACAGTACTAAAGATCATCTCAGCTCTAAGTTTACTCGTTCAAAGTTACTTTCAGGGGCGTTATAACAGCCTTAGTTCCCAAAATTAGATTCCAGTAGAGTTCAGATTTCAGTGTCCTTCTACATTACCAAGCTGCAGGATGTGATCAAAGGTGGCTTTGGATCTCTCAGAGAAGCTCCTTAAGGATGACATGGATGAGTCACAGAGCTAGTAAAGTTGGAGTTAGTGAATGAGTTCCATCTGTGGATCAAACGAAGGCACTGCCCTCCAACAGGTGTAACTTAAGAGAGAGAGATACCAGCCTCTGATCAATAGATAGCTATTCTCTCATAACAAGAGCAGAAAGTTAATTATGGCGTATAAAAGCCCGAACAAAGAAGATCAGGGGCTGAGTAAAGAAGAATGAAAGCTGCATCTTTTGAAGAAGCCGACTCAAGCACTTGCAAAGTACAAAAAAAACAAAAGATAGTGTGACTGATGAGAAGTGTTATGATATTGCACAGAAACCCTCATTGACTAATACAACAGACCATTTGCATGCAAAAAAATGCCAAGAAGATGTAAGGACTCACAGTGACCCATTAACAGAGGTGAAAGTCTCAAATCTTAACCTTCGAGACTCAAGCATGTTATGGTCAGTAGTGTTTAGTTATACTGCCAGCAGGAGCCTTCAACATCATCGTTTCATCAAGCTGTTCTCAATAAAGCCTGCTTTGAATCCTAACCAACCGATTGTGTTCGCTTGTGGTTCGTTCCCTTTTAACATAACAAACCAAGGCCAATCCACTGTGGGAGACTCCACGCACATCAGTTAGATTACTGCCCTAAGCTCAAAAGCCAATCAAGGCAACCCAAAAATATTGCCCTACGTGACTGCAAAATGCCCTACATCCTGCGAAGCGAATGTTGGGTTGATCGTGTGGCACTGTACGAAAACATGGCGGTCAACATGGCGCTGCTGTAAAGTAGGACCGCTCCCTCTGTAGATAAACATCTTCCTAGGTTCCTCTGTTTAACATAACAAAGCAAGGCCCAAGTCACTGTGGTGAGACTCAGGCAAGTCAAGTTGAGATTCTGCTGTAAGTCAAGCAAGTCAAGGCAACCCAAAAATATTGCCTACGGTGGATGCAAAAAGGCCCTATCTGGAGCNNCCAAATGATTTCTAAACGGGTTTATTAAGCTGAAAAAGTTGCCAAGTTCCCCTTTAAACTCCTTGATTCAACCAAGCGTGTAGGAGAAACTACGTTGGCCATAAAACTCACGTAAAACTCAAAAAGGCCATATCTACAGCCAGTGCTTGGTTTGTCCATTCTGGGCTACTGTAGAAACATGGTGGTTCAAAAAACAGCTCATTCTAAGGCAACAAAAACACAATGATTCTTATATTCAGCTGATTATACAAAAAATACAGCTATGAATATTATATTCCATTTCTGCCAATAGATCATCCTAAATGTTAGACACTGGACCTTTAATTAGTGCAGCTCTAAAGCATCTTGACACGGTAAAACATTGTTTTTACTTGTGTATGGTGGCTTGTGTCTATTATAAGTAATAGTAATATTTTATCTGCTTGATCCTTTATTTTACTTTTTGGGGTTTTCGTTCTGCCATTTTATTACCAGCAGGTTGGCTGGTAAGGGTTTCACCTTGAGAGTCTGGGTGTGTTTGTGTCATCATAGCAAAATGGAGTCCTGGAGACAGCTAACTACCACAGACACAGTTTTGAGTACTTTGCTAGGCATCTATGTCTGTGTCTGTCTGTGGACAGATTTTGTCAATACAATAGCATTAGAAGTGTGCAAGAGGCAGTCGCAACACTTTACAGGAGTAATTCAATCGGAACTGAAGGCCTAATTTAAAGATTGGTGGTATTTCTGTCTGTAATGCAGTTTTATTCTGGTATTAATAGTTGTGCCAGGAGAGATACAGTATACAAAATTTTGTTTGTACAAGTATTTCTTCTGGTACATATGTACATAAAACGTCGAGATTCAGTTAATACGCATTGTTAGACATTCTCAAATTCACAATAAGAGAAACAGGATCAAGGAAAATAGAAGAAGAAAGAAATAAAGGAGAAGTATGCTTCAGGGTTTATGGGAAATGTCATGTATAATATCAGAGATATATGCATGATTTATGGTGACAAGCCATGACAGCTCCAAAAACATATTTAAGTGCTTTGTCTATGGAGAAAGAAACAAAACCACGCACTAAGACATAAATGTCAGTTAGAATTCTGAAAATGGGACCATGCCATGTCCTAACCACATACTAAAAAGAATCATCACATGTCCCTGTGAGTGGGAGGCAGAGACAGAACATTGCCTTTGGGTCTCCACATAAAACATCCAAAACCTAAATGCAGCTGCATTCCACAGAGGTTACATAATGACACAACATGGAAGATGGAGGTATGGAGAACCCAGGATTAGCATGTTACTACTAGCAGGTAACCTTCTGGCTGGCTCGTAGCCAGTCCTACAGGCTGTTAAAAGCAGCAGCAAGTGTGCTGGAGTATACCTGGAAGAACTTCGTCAGTATGGACACAAGCATCCGGACATCATAGTAACACCTACAGAGTGTGCAATAAGAGGAGGACTGCTGTGAATCGATTTTAGGTCATGATGAAGTTTGTGGCTTACATCACCTTCCTCACCTCTGCAGTTCATGCAGGTCTGCTGAGAAAAAGAGAAACCTGCCCGCAGGCCTGCGATGCCTCCCGGTGCCCGGCCCCGGCCCCGGCCTGTTACTACGGCCAGGTGATGGACGCATGCGGCTGCTGCGTGGTGTGCGCGGCCGGGGAGGGCGAAGTCTGCGGGGAGCGCAGCGGTGGCGGCCTCCCCTGTGGCGACGGGCTGCGGTGCGACTCTATCCGGGGTGGGCTCCACAGCTCCTGCGTGTGCGCCTCCACCGGCCCGGTGTGCGGCAGCGACGGCAGGACTTACCCCAGCATCTGCCGCCTGAACGCCGAGAACAGGAGGGCCGAGCTGGGTGAGACCCCCCCGGTCATTTTCATCCAGAGGGGTTGGTGTGGTTCAGGTGAGTGGGATTAACTTTTCTTTCTTTCTTTCTTTTTTCCTTTAATGAAAACAATGTTCCTGCAAAAGTTTATTTAAGTTGGCATTCATGAAATAGGCTATTTGATTAGCAAACTTGTTGATCAATACGCCTATAATTGGGCTAATTTACTATTGCTGTCATTATTAATAACTACAGTTATTTCTGTTTCTACTATTACAATAATTGTTATTATTATTATTATTATTGTTGTTGTTGTTTTTTTTATTATTATTAGTAGTAGTAGTAGTAGTAGTATTAGTATTATTATACCAAAACATATCAAACTTCAGTATCAGAGTGCATTACAAAAATGCGAACAGTATATACACATCTGAATGGAACAAACTTGGGGTGCCTTTGAAAAGTAATGACAAATAAATATACTATAAAACGTAATATTCATACTTGTTTTGTATCTGGACAATAGGTATAGTATCAGCTATAGTTTCTTTGCAGAAAAGTCTAGATTTAGCTAATAATATATATTTTATGTACAATTTTAAATGCACAAGTTAATATATTAAGATTGTAAAACTGTGTCTACTTTTACTTAAAGGAGTAGTTGGCGCTTAAACAATACTAGAGACTAAAACTCAGGATACCTCGGCCTCAGCTGCTTCAGTTTGGGCCGTCCTTTTTTAAACCTGTCTCTTATGAGTCCCTCACTGTTATGGAAGTGCAATAATAAACCCCTTTAAACCTGAGCTGAGTTGGTGCTCCTCTGTGACCTAACAGGCTGTGGTGATGCTGGAATTGATTCTGTTAATAAAGAGTCACTGTGCTCTGTAAACATTTCTTCAACAAATAAAGGTTCAAAATGTAGTCAGCTCTATCGAGTGGTGTGCGGTGCCCGCCCCACTCATCATCCCCCTGTGCTCTTTAATTTGACTTGAGAAGATAATACGCCATTCTGGAGACTCTTATTTTGGATGATAGGGATATATATCTGGAAAATGTGTCTTCTCAGAAAGCTTCATATAGGGTGTCTCCAATGTTCTGTATATTCATGCAAAGACAAAATGCAGTCACAAATTCTCCAAAGAGGGTGTTTAATTCTCCTGAGGGAATCCCAGCATCACATTACTGTGCAAACATATCCTCTTCATTTCTCATCCTGTGCTATCCATTTTAATAATGTGCCGTTTCTTGTCGTAATTCATCAGAGAATTCGTCATGCATTAGACCTCCTGCTGCACAGGTATGCAAAAGCTCACACATATACAATGCCGAAGGGGCCATAAAATATAAAATAAATAGGAAATAAGACAAAGAAACTTCCCTGTTGGGAGGCATTTTTTCAATGAAGCCTGGTTAGTAGTCAGTCCAGACCAGTCACAGTAGTCATATCACTGAATGAAACCACTGTGATAAGCCAGGATGTGACCAAAAGGAACTGCACTAGCCATTGTGTGAAGCTACAGCAGTAAAAAAAGGTTTTGTGTATAAAACAGAAAAGAATAGAATTAACTTTATTGTCACATGTACAGTCATACACAGTATAAGGTATAATAAAATTGATCCTCTCCCGGCCTACGTATTAGGAGCACTTGGCAGCCACTGTACAGTGCCTGGGGACCAACTCCAGATCTGAGCCAGTGCCAAGGAGAAGTTAATAAATTAATTGACTGGAGAAATTAACCTAACATACATGTTTGGAGGAAACCTACGCAAACACAAGGCGAACATTCAAACTCCACACAGAAAGTCCCCGGCTGGGGATCGCATCCTTGCTGTGAAGTGACAGTGCTAACCACTGAACCACTGTGCTGCTGTAAAAATCCACCTTTCTTTTGAAAACTTTTAGTGAAAATGAGTATAATGTAGAGCCATGATAGAAAAGATCAACCCACCCCCATGTAATTAGATTTCCCCTTTGTGTCCACATGAAACTGTATAGTCACTGAGCATTATGATATCTGTCAGAAGCATGCCCAACTTTTTAAACCAAATACTGTACATGCTCATTTTTGCGTCCTGAACGTTTTAACAATTTTCACCTATAAATCATTAAATATGCGGTTTGGCTATTATTGATAGTGCTTTAGGGATTATTTTCAATGCTCACTTCATGTTTATAAAAAAGGTCTCATTGCTTTTTGTGGTAGAAAAAGATTAAATCTTTACTACAGGGTAACTGCTAGATGCATTAGAAACAAGGAGCAACTTGTATTGACGTAAAACCATCTTTTCTGGACTCACTTTGTTATCTCCCCGCGTCATGCTCGCTATGGTATTTACGTGTTGCCATTACTGTGTTAGCTGCCACCCCCAGTTGGGTGCCTCACTTGCA